CTGCTGTCAGCTGGGTCAGAAGCTTGAAGAACCCCACTGGTCAAACAGTACGATGGCTTCAAGAGATCGAAACTTATGACCTTACAGTTACTCACCGCCCAGGGCGAAGTCATCAAAATGCAGACGCCTTGTCGAGAAATCCTTGCAAACCATGTCTAAGACAACAACAAAACAAAGATGACAGTGACAATAGCGATGATGAAAAATGCAATGGAAGTGAAGGTCTTGAATCCATCCCAACAATTAGAGTGACAACCAGAAGTAAAGAAATAGCCCAATGCCAATTCAGAAACCAAGTAATACTAGAGGGATGGGGGGTGGATGAAATTCGACAGATGCAACTGGAAGACCAATCTATGGGCATGCTTTTATTAGCCTTGACAGATGGTTCTGTAAGACCAAAATGGGATGTCATATCACACAATTCTGAGGCATTCAAAACCTTATGGAGACAATGGGATAGACTTAAAGTCATCAATGGTCTGTTATACAGAGAGTTCCAAGATGTGGATACAAACAAGGTCATATTACAATTAGTTGTACCAAAACAGAAGAGATCAGAGGTTATTCATTACTTTCATGATGTTCCCACAGGAGCCCACCTTGGTGCTGAGAAGACCACGTCCCGCATAAAAAATTCATTTTACTGGCCATCAATGTCAAAAGAAATTGCAAGATATTGTAAAAAATGTGATTTATGTGCTGCTCGTAAATCCAGCCAAAGACAAAACAGAGCACCATTAGGACAGTACATAGTTGGAGAACCAATGGAAAGGATAGCTCTAGATATTTTGGGACCTCTTCCCGAGTCTACAAAAGGTAACAGATACATTCTGGTCATGATTGATTGTTTCACTAAATGGACCGAAGCTATAGCTATCCCAGATCAAGAAGCTGAAACTGTTATTACAACTTTTGTCAATGAAATAGTCTGCCGGTTTGGTACACCTTTACAAGTCCACTCTGATCAAGGAAGAAATTTTGAGTCTAAAGCTTTTAAAGAAATGTGTGAACTTCTCCATATTGACAAAACTAGGACAAGTAGTATGCGACCTCAAGCTAATGGCAGTGTGGAACGCTTCAATCGTACCTTAGCTACTATGTTGACTATGTACTGCGAGCACAACCAGAAAATATGGGATAAGTATCTCCCTCAAGTCATGATGGCATACCGAGCTTCCATACACTCTAGTATCAATACAACACCAAATCTCATGATGTTAGGCAGAAATGTTAATCTACCCCTAGAAGCAGTTGTTGGCAAACCTCCCAGTCAGACAGATGATGGCATAGAACCAAATGAGTACATAGATGAGCTACAAAGAACTTTGATTGATGTTCATGCCCTGGCCAGGGAACATCTGAAAAAGAGTACAGAATATAATAAATGCCACTATGATCTTAAAGCAAAGAAACAACTGTTAGAAAGAGGTCAACCTGTCTGGTTGTATGATGATACCAGGAAAGTTGGGGTGTGTCCAAAACTAACTTCAAAATGGAAGGGTCCTTACCTCATCACCAAACGAATAGATGATTTGAACTACCTCGTGCAAAGAACACTTCGGAAACCAGCAAAAGTTTATCATGTTGACAGATTAATGCCCTACAAAGGAAAAACCCTCCCTAACTGGTTTAAGAAAATTTTAAATAAAGCATAGAAGTTTCTTCAGATGTTGTTTTGTATTCCTATGTTTCAAGTTACTTTTAAGAAGTCATACTTAGATGTTTATGTAGATGGTAGATGTGAGATTGGTGCACCATTGAGATTGGGATAGAGCTGGCCTGATCACCCAGAACTCTTCTCCCAAAGATGTTGAAAGAGATGGTTAACAAGTCGTTTATAAGACAGTATTATAGACGTGGACCTACTACCTGGTACACATCACACATTGAATCCTATAGATGTTTGATGTCTTGTTCTAACCAGTCTCTTAGAGATTTAGATGTAGATGTTAGTGCATGTGGTAGCTAACTTCAGAAGTAGAAGTGTTGATGTTATGATTTCCTATTTAGTTTAAACAACAAAGAAACTCTTTAAGAAGATAAGACGATGTAAGATGACGCATGAACTCCCCTTTAACAACCATTTACTTTGATTTTAGACTATTGTAATGGAGTGCTGGATATGCCACCTGAATTTTCCCTCCAACAGAGACCTCAAGAACCATATGATGCCTACACATGGAACTATGAGAGTTGTTTGTCCTTGGTGCCCTGACGAAAGAACATATAAAAGAGTCACAGACCTCAGGAGCCACATCAAGTCAACACATCCTCACCAGCTCGCCAAATACCCATCTGACTTGATTTCTGAAAGTAATGGTGTGTGGTTCAGCCTCGACCCAGAAGGATATAGTCGCTTGGTCAACGGAACAGAATGGGGGAGTACCTCTGCCACCCATGCTAGAGTTTTAGTCTTGGAATGGCTTTCCACCACAAGAAGAACAACCAGAAAGAAGGATGAGTGGCAGAGAGGATGGGACAAGTTAAAGATCACACACACACAGGCCCCAACCCCAGAAGCTCTATTTCAACCTGACTATGATGAAGAAGCCCTAGACATACATGTACCAACTATATGCTACACGCCCTCTGCCCCTGAGATAGAAGAGATGGAGATACTACACGTCTCCCTGATGTTGGGGAAAATTTGCTTGTTTATAGGCCAGGGCAGACAGATCTTTAAGATGAATATAAGAGATGCCATCCTCACAGACGCTAAAGGAGTAGCCAGTCTCTCAAGGAAGATGTCGGTACAGAAGAGGAATGAAGCCCCTCAGGTTGACCAGACTAAGATGGTGCAATTAAGTTCACCTACCTTCCAGTCCAGATTATTGAAATTTGCTGGCCTTGACAAGAACTACCTTGACATGATATATACAACGACAGAGGCAGATGACAACAGTCCTCCCGCAAAGAAAATCAGATGTTCAAGCCCAACCCCTGCTCTCACTGCACCAGCCATAGCAGAAACTCCATCTGAGCCAGCCTCACAGTCAGTGAAAGAATCTTCTTCTAGTAATAAACCCAGAGCAAGTATGTCAGAAAGGGCCCTCAACCTCCTAAAACGTGGATGTTTGCCATTATTTCCTCCAGCAAGAAGGGACTGGGGCACAGAACAGATTACGCTGAAGTTGAAAGATCTCAGTATTTTATGGCCTCCAAAGGACTGGCAGGGGATGTCATCTGATAGAAAGCTTCTATCTTGGGAATTCACTTCCATGACCATTCAACAGAAGATGGACCCAACAAGAAGTTCCAGTATCGAACGTGTGGATTTATTAGACAAGTTCAATTTCCTCGCACTTCCGGGCACAGTAGAGAAGATTGGGAAAAAGGAGGAACAAATTGTTCGAAAGGCTCGGTACATATATGAACAACTGAAGACAATAGTTAGCGAAGACAATGGGGATTCGACCTGGGTAAAGATGCTTGAGAGATCTTGTGCTCTTAGGGACCGCTCCACTGATGACCTTCTTGCAATTATAGACTCTAAGAACATTCCCATCAGACTTTAAAATCTGTAAAGACTGTTAATGCTATGTTGAGTTGATGTAAATTTCAAATTCAGGAGAATTTTGTAATTAAGTTGTGGGGAGTGTAATATATTGTAATATATCACTTTATTTTATACGTAATATTGTGCGGTCGTCCAGTTCTCTTACTTGTTAAATCTATGTTCATCATGTGCCTGCCAGAAAAGTTGTTCATTTACGATTTTATTGAAAATAATATGTCAGCCTATCTTGATACGATTGTAGAAATAGCTATTGTCATCATATTTTACCTGTTGTTGCTTCATGTAAAGTCGTAGGATTTATAATATCAGGGATAAGAGGGTGGATTTTACATTTCATGTTTTGGTAGCCATCATACTTTACTCGGATCGTCACTTCCGGTTTAGTGACATATTTACTATAGTAATCTATGATTCAAGTTATGAATATTGGATCAGATTCTACATTTTAATTTGAGTTGTTGTGTATTTTGAGGCTATAAGTAGTCCTTTATTGTCAGCATTAACTTTATTATCAGTCAGCTTAATCGGAACTACATTTGTTTACGCTATCGTTGGTAGTTACGATATTCATACGCTACTTTGTTTAGTACCTATTGTACAACCTAGGAATGTTTTATAAACATTGAAGGTATTAATTTATTCGTCTAGTCAAGTTTATTTTATGTATTCTATTTCCAGTTGTTATTTTTACGTTGTTATTTTTGTTACGATATTGTACGGCAGCTTGTGTGGCAAAAGTAGTTCTGTGTGGGAACTTGTGTGGGAACTCAGCTTCCCGTACAAGCTGTTGATTGGTTGATAGTTCGTACGGCATATTTTCATTGGATAATTTGTGTCATGTGACAGGGGATAGGAGGTTATATAAGCAAGCGCGTACTACGTTACGACAGATTTCAGCTAGTTGTACGGCGGCAACATTTAAAAAGATAAAGAAGAAAGCTAAGACGGTGAGATACTTATAATGTAAATTACACGTAATTAGCCTAGTTAGAAATCTCCTACCACACTGGACGACCTAAACTTGTGTTTCTGAAGAATCAGCTATGTTTTCTTATGTTGTTACTTGTGTATTGCCTATATTGTTATGATAATGAGATGCTGTACGTACAATAAATGATAAGCATGACTGATCATCATCTTAAGTATTATTCCACTAAGTATCTACAGAGAGAAGAGCCTGGTCTATTTTACATGAGAACAAATTAAATTGGTGCATCCTGGTAAATAGATGATTTATTTAGATGATGAAGCAATGACCTGTATACATACTGAGGATTCAGAAATACTAGCCACCCCTTGGGTAGCTTACAGTATATATACATGAGCATGATGAGTACATGTATTTGAATCCTTGTCAGTTGATAATTTTTCATGTCAAAATCTGTGTTTATGTACTCAGTACATGTAACCAGAGACATATAATAGACATACATATAATAGAGATTATATGTCTCTATTATATGTCTCTGATGTAACTCACCCACTCCACACACCATCCTAACACTCTGGCTAATTTTTCTTCCTCCTCTGAAACTATTTCTTTCAAGCATCTTAATGAAGCAATGACAGACAGACCTCTGTTCCTCTTGCCATGTGGAACATTATACTCCGATACCTGGGAATAAAGATGCCACAAATTATATTTTGTAAAATCAAACAACATGTATTGATCACAGAACATGCCATTAATAATATTTACCTCTCTGAACCATGCAAATACTTTGTCTAACTGTTTTTCTTTTGTACATCCTTCATTCAGACATTCCAGCAACTCAGGAAAAAGTTTGTCAAATTCTCCCAGATCGTCCATTTTAGCTCTTTTTGGGACTGAATTATGGTTCATGGTGCTGAAAAATTTCTTATTACTTTGGCGGTGTAAGGTCAAATGATCATTAGTGCGACGGCATGTCCCTAAAAATAAAAGGAAACTAGAATTTCTATTATTAGCGATATGATTAATGAACACGTCTTCAGCATATGTGGCTTCAAGGCATCACACATACTGTAACCCAAACAGTTGCTGTTAATCATAAAGACAAAAAGGCATCAATGGAGTCCTACTTAATAAATAGCGCAATCGACATACAGCACATTGCATCTTTGTCATTGAGAAAATTCGAATTGAAGTTGCATAGCAGCTAAGGGACATTACCTAGCTCTAGCCGTCAGTAATTCTGTTAACCTAATGATTCAACTCATAAATGTTTTCAGTGTTTCAAGTAGAAAATAAACAGTGTAAATGTGAAATACCGGCTAATCAAGTGGATCATGCTGCATGTTGCTTTGTGTATCGTTTAGAGTGATCTGCCCTTGAATAGAAATAAAGGAGCGGATCATTTTTTTAAAAAAATGGTATGTTTAAGAGACATTTAAAAACAGCTTTGAAAAAATTACTTCGTAATTCTCTTTCATAATTATCAGGCGCGGATCCAGGAATCCCCCCCCCCAAAAAAAATCCAATCCAGAAATTTCTTGACAAGCAAAAAAAAAAAAAAAAAAACCTACACTCGATAAACCTATTTCGGGGGGAGGGCGTGTTCACTTCCAAAGGTTCATACCTATGACTTTCCATACCAACTTAACACAAATCCGCGTTTTCTAGGGGGGGGGGGGGTCCAAGGTCACTTTTGGTTTAGTATGTACATTTAATAACTGCAAATTCCGGGGGGAGGAGGGAGTCCGGACCCCCCCCCCCCCGACCCCTCTCGATCCGCGCATGATTATGTATGAATTATTGCTTAGTACAACTGTATGAAATAATTGAACATAAAAATGAGTGATTTATGATGTTCTTTTGTAGAAAAAAAAGTATTTTTTCGTTAGATTTTTTTCAATTTTTCCCCGTTTTGCATTTCCATCCACAAGATGACAGGAGAATAATTCAACGCGAGACTGAACTGACAGAAATATAATGTATATGTGACCAACTAGGCACGTTTTAATTAATTTGGCGATCATTTGAATGATAATCTTTTAAGAATCAATTATTGGAGGTAACATTGTAAATATTGACCCTCATATGACCTCAATTCAGGTATATGATACTCCACCCTCATCTATGGCGATTTTGAATATACACAACAATTAAGATTTTGAATATTAGTTCACAAGATTTTCGAATAAAGCAACGTTTTATACACCATACTCATCAGCAATTTTAAAGTAAACTGTTTCTCATTTACAAAATTACATATATGACACTGACTTAGTCTTCGAACTCCTGTCATCTTGTGAATATTGTGAGTTTGGGCAAGGCCATCACTATGGTTTTCCGCTTTTCTTGCTATGTAAATTTCTGTAGTAAATCATGACTGTCATCAAGGATCATAATCGAATTTAACATTGCCCATCTATATATGATATTGGCTTTCCTCGAATGATTTCAGTTCAAGGCCATAGCATATTCTCTAGTCTTAAAGTAATCAGGGACAATCTGACCAAACATGAAGTTTTCTTTTGTGTCAAAGTTGCATGCAGACTTATTAACAGGACACAGAAACAATCCTAAAACAATATGGCCCGGTTCAATAAACGCACCAACACCATCCGGTATGTGTTCTATTTTATATTTAAGGCACTGATCAATCTTTATATATAGGTCAAAGTAAAGTTTAAGGTGTTTCGATTGTCGTATGACGTCATCAGCATCACGAGTAATATTCCGGAATATTTATGCCGTTATCGTTTTTAATATTAGTTAGCGGTAGTTAAAGTCCGGCTATGCATTTACAATGTCCGCCAAAAACGGACATCTGCTGCGTAAGAAAAACGGACAATTTACCAAGCGAGGACATAGCAAAAAAGTACTTGGATTAAAAAAAGGTTTGTTAGCGCGCTTAGCCAAGAACAGGGGTGAACCTTTACCACCGATTCATTCGGAAGGTGACCGGAATAACATTGATCACACTGAATGTGAACAATTCGTGCACTTAGATCATGATTATTTTGGTGTAGAGGAAGAAGTGACTGTGTGTGATGATGGATATCCCTCTATAGACAACGGTAAAAGCTATGATTGGCGGGTGGGTAGACGTATTGTGGAACTGAGCGTTCTTGCAGATGGGTTAAGGGCTTGTCAGCTTTGCCAGTCCCCCCTACATTTACATAACTGCATAAACGAACGAAAGTTTGGACTTTCCCAGATCTTGGAAATTAAGTGTGAAAGCTGTCAGCTAGTAAACGACGTTGCCACAGGAAGCCGTCATCGGACAGAAAAAGGGGGACTGGCATGGGATGCCAATACAAAACTAGCAGCAGGTAAGATGGCCAGTGTAAAATAACATGATAATTTGTCGTTTAAAACTTCCAATATTGCATCATTTAGTTCAATAATACAATAGACAAAAGTGGATCATTTAGATTTGCTATTACATCAAATATTTCTATCCAATTTCATATTGTATTTATGGTTTTATAGTCTAACACATATATATTTTATGTGCAACATAGGTATGGTCAATGGAGGGTTTGGAGAAAGCCATGTTAACACTCTTCTGGCAATGCTCAATATTCCTGGAATATGTCATAAAAACTTAAAAGAGAGAGAAAGGGAAGTTGGAGAGAAGCTTGAGAGAATGGCAACTGCATCATGTTCAAGAAATCTGGCAACTGAAGTAGCTTTGTAAGTATAAACATGGATAATTCATTTAGAAACACAAAGAATTGATATATGTACTGATAGTATTAGAGAAATTATGAGAACATAAACTATTACCCTTCATTCTGGCATATTTTATGAAGTCTACTACTTATTTATATGCCAGACTTTCCACAAATTTCTTTTATTCAACTATCATTTTTGAAGCAAAACAGTTTGCACTATAGTTAGATGTCAGTACGGTATTATGACGTCAAAGTGGATATATTCATACTCCTCCATAGTAGCTCAAGAGAAAATGAACCTTTTTAAATTAGCAAAGTATCTTATGGAAAATATTTGAAAAATGTAAATGTTTCTTGATACTATATTATATACAGTCTGCAATTATCTCATAGAATTTTGGTAGCACTGCATAGGAATACAGGAAATTACACACAATAATTTATCAGAATTTCCACTATTCATGTACTTTAGAATGTAGAGCACCCTTTGTGAGTGACCACTTGTTGCACATGCTATCTGTAAGTTTTACTGGCTATGACCATCATTTTTATGGTTTATTTCTTGTAGAACTGATTCTCAAGAGGATGGCATTGTTGTAAGTTTTGATGGAGCATGGCAAAAAAGAGGCACTGGCAGGTCTTATAATAGTCTTACTGGTGAGATGTGTTTTGACATTATTCTTTTACTGATAAGAGTAACAATTTATATTTTCTGTACAGTTGAAGGAACTTTCTAAAAATAACTGAAAATGTCTTTCAGGTCATGCCACTCTAATAGGGCAGAAAACAGGAAAATGTGTTGGTTATGCACTGAAGAGTAAGAAATGTCGTATCTGCAGTGCAGCTAAAGAGAAAAATGTAACACCAAGAAAGCATAACTGTAAGAAAAATTGGGAAGGTTCTGCTAAATCAATGGAACCAGCCATGGCCTGTGAAATGCTACAGTCTGTTTTGGACCAGGGAGAAAAAGTAAAATATGTTAATAATCAGAATGTTTTTCCAAAGTAATCTTTGAGATGATTCTGAATAAGCCTTATATCATTATTATTTTACAGGTATCCACATTAGTGATGGACAATGATAGCACTACGATAGCTAGAGTGAAGTCAACTGTAGACAAGAACATCAGAAAGCAGTGCGACAGTAATCACGCAAGGAAAGGGTTCACGGCTTCCCTCATAGAACTGAGCAAGACCCACAAGCTACTGCGAAACACTAAAGTCCGCTCCCACATTGAAAGATGTTTCAGCTACAGTATTTCGCAAAACAAGGGCCAACCAGAGCAACTAGCCATTGGACTAAGCAGTATTATTCCTCATTTGTACGGTGTGTAATGAAGGTCAACTAGAATGTTTGCTGAGTGAGATATTAGAACTACTGTTAAAAGTCTGTTGAAAAACTTATTGCTATCTGGGTAATGGTTGTTATCATGATTATGTAATGATATGTATATATTGCTAATGAAGTATTATCTTGTGTAGGTGAGCATTCTAGTTGTGGAACCTGGTGCAGGGGTAATGAGGAGGGATATAAACACAAGGCACTGCCACATGGAAAACCACTTGATGACAAAGACCTTAGGGTGGCCTTGCAGTCTCTGATGGAGAAATTCATATCAAGATCATCTGAATTGGCCAATATGGGGTCCACTCAGTCAAATGAAAGCTTTAACCATATGGCAGCTTCTAAAGCACCAAAGAGATTGTAAGTACATGACATACCTGTGCATACTATAATTAAAATAGTTCTTGAATTTAAGTTTGAAACTTACATGTCTGTGAGCAAATTGTTACATGTACTCAGCCCCATAGCATTAAAAGCAATAAATATATAAGAGCAGTGTAGCTTATTTTGCAATACATCTGTAATGCAGGTTTTATGGGGGCTCAGAAAGCCTTGCCTCAAGGCTCTCTGCCACAGTTTGCCAAAAAATGATGGTTTTGAATACATATCTGAGGTAGAATGTGTTACGTGCAGCCATTCATGATTTGATTTTTTTTATGTTATTTATCATGTTTATATTTGCCGAATTTTGGGCATTATTTTTGTTCAGAGTAATTTGAATATTGTTTTATGTCTGTTTACATTTTCTTTAATTGCACCTTATTTTTACCTTTTTTTTTTAATTTGGGACTCTACCAACTAATATTTATAACATTAATTCTTTCTAATATATGTATTAAATAATAATATAAACTTAAAAATTTTTAACCAGTGATATGTCTTGGAACTTAAAGAGAAGAATTTACTTTAAACTTCCACAATTATTATAATTGTTTTCTCGTGTGTCAAATGTGCTGATATGTGTTTCAATGTTTAGTAATTAAGTAACTTTGATTTGTAGCTAAATAAGAGTTGCTCATTATCACCTGGTACATACACCATGAGACACATGAGACGCAAGGATGCTAAGCTGAAAAGAAAGCGCCTGAGAAATATACAGCCAAGTGCCAAAAGAAGAAGACTGGAGCTAAAAGCTGAAAGGCAATCTAAGAATGCATCACAGTCTGTTCTTGAAGGTACATGTACATTTATTTAGTATGTACATTTATTTAGTATTGACTAATTTTTAGTGATTTCGTCATCTTTAATATATTTACTCATATGTTGATACAATCTGAGAACAAAATGATTTATTTTTCAAGGAGATACATATAAGCCAAATATATGCTTAGAGGCTGAAGAAAACCTAGATATAGATGATATTCAACTGGATGCCCCTGTTGACAATCTGCATACACATCCATTGGTGTTCTTTGATTTGGAAACAGGAGGATTAGGTTTGTTCATACTTAAATTTCAGTACATGTATAATTTATAGGTGTTTGTTAATCATATAATACTTTCAAAATCCCTCTTGTAATCATTACATTGAGTATGCCAATATCATAAGATCACACATTTTGTTTCTTTCTATAGGAAGAACATCTGATATACTTCAAATTGCTGCAAAATGCAAAGAAAAGGAGTTCTCAGTGTATGCCTTGCCCACTCGCTCCATCAGCAAGGAAGCATCTGAAGCAACCTCTTTGACCTTCGATGGAAACAACCTCTGCTACAAGGGAGAAGCAGTCGCTGCATTTCCTCCACCTGAAGCACTCACCAAGTTTCTTACATTTTTAGAGTCTTTTGACCTTCCAGTGTTAGTGGGACACAACATTCAAAACTTTGACTTACCAATACTGCGACACCATTTGGGAAACTGTGATCTTCTTGAAAGATTTCGTAAGAATGTAACTGGATTTTTAGATACTCTAAAGATTTCCAAGAAATTATTGAAAGATATCCAGCTTCCAAACTACAAGCAAGAGACATTGGTTCAGAATCTATTAGGAGAGGAATATGAGGCTCATAATGCGATGGCAGATGTGACAGCATTAGAAAAGTTATATTACTCTAAGTTGTGTCTGTCAGAAAGTACAGTGTCTGAAAATGCTTTTTATTTATCATATTACACATGTAAAGAGTCTTTAGAGCCATTGTTGAGAGGCAAAGTTGTGTCAGCTTTAATACTTCGAAAATTGTTTCTATGTGGACTTACTTTGTCAAAACTAAGACAAATTCATGCTAGAGACCCAGAAAATGGGATTAGATATATATTTTCAGAACCATTGAAAGAAAATCCTAAGAGTGTAAGAATAACAAAATCCTCAAAGATTATTCAAAAGGTTGTTGATTATCTTAGTATGTAAGCATACATACATTTTATGTATGGTACATATGTATATTGAACTGACATGTACATGTAGAAAGTGGGGAGAAAATGTAGTCATAAGTGGAATAGTAGAAATGTAATATATTTTCAGTTTTAGCATTATTTCTTGATTGAGTAATTGAAGTGTCAATTATATTTCAAGATTTATTGAGTTAACACATCACTGGATTTAAAGATAAGAGTAGAAAATATATTGTGGAAGTCATAGAGAGCCAATGTATTTCAATACTTTTTACCAGGTAACATAAATATTGGTTTGCAGTTTTAGAAAGGAAAAACTTTGATTTACATGTATACTAAATTTTATGAGGTTTTAACCATTATTGAAGAAGTTGTAGACATTTTAGAGACGGTACTACCATATTTTTCGAGATGAATTGGTAAGAAAAATATGTCTGTAAATGCCATAATATGTATACTGACAAGCCGAAATGGCTCCCGGCAGCTACTATGAAGCCCAGAAGTACCTCGGGATTGCTGCTGCAATTACCTTTGATTAAATATCAGCATTATAGTCAATACTTGCTTGAAAAAAGACCGTACTTTCATATAGATGTAACTCCCCCCCCCCCCCCCCCCCCCCACACACACACACACACAAGCGACACTGGAAGAGGAAAACATGCCAATACTTTCTTCCAACTCGCATGGCTACTTTCCTCTAGATTTTTTCGACGAGTTCCAACTCAGTGTGTGTTCACGGTGCAAGTAAACTGTACATACATACAAGCTTTGACTTGGTTTAGAAAGAAAATAATCATTTAAATCAAAAGACTTTACTTCATTTAGTCAGTTTTGATCCATTTTTAGTAGAGACCTGATATTCGGACATATTTATAATAAGTCTCCATTCTTTACACACAATAAAGGTCAAGGTCAAAGATCAAATATTGTGACACCTACTGATTCTTTTCAGTTTTTTGCATTGAATTTGTTTTTAATCGCCAAAATATCCAAAACTGTCGGTTGAATGTTCCTCATTCTGACATATTTTAATATGAGTTCCATTTCAATATCATTCTGTTGATTTTTTGTAAAAATTGATTTATACTTTTTCTCTTAAGAGAACTTAAAGTGTAGCAAACTTACATGTGAATTTTCAATTCCTGGGCTATGTATGTTCTATTTTTTCATCACATTTTATTCAAATATATCAGTATCAATATAATTTACTGAAATTTAGTAACAGAAAGGTTGTATCTATAAAATGCCTCACACAACTTTGCAATAGATTGATCGGTAATTTAAAAAATGCATATTCTGGAGTGTATTGTCTGATTTAACAATCTTATTACAGGGGGCTGATAGGCCATATTTCAAACTATGTGGGCAAAAAATGTTCGGTTGAATTTCTTTCAAGTTACATATGAAAAGAGATTTTGTATCCTACGACAAAATTTCAAAGTTTCAAAGAAATTAAAATTTGGCCTATCTATTGTGTACTACTCAATATTTGCCGTTTTACGCTGAATTCCCTTCCTGCATTAAACATTCATTTTAGTTATTGGACTAAATCATCCTATAGTCGGTGTTCTGTTCTGTTGGGGAATAAGTCAAATATAAAGGTATTCATTTAATGAAAGATTCCACTTAGTCTTCATACAATCATAGCTGGTAATGATGACATATTTTAGATTAAGGACAGAATTCATTTGAATGCAAACATTTTGAAATACTTTCATATAGTATTTTGATGAGGTCAATCCGTAAATATATAGCTTAGAGAAAGCATATCGACCGAGGGATTGTTCCGAATCAAAAGGCTATTATATTTGTTTTATTACTTTTTATATCAATTCATGAGAAATATCTCAATAGTTTCTCATATTAGGCATTACGCATAAAAAATTTAGTACATTTATTTCTGAATTAATGTTTAATGAAAATTGCAATTTCCCAAATTGATACTTCGGGTATAAAGAAAATTGCAATTTATTAAATGGATATATGGGGTATGACGATTAATAATTCATTGTTTTCCGCTGTGTTCCTCCAAGGCGAAATTTTTGAGCTGTTGTTTTAAATTAAAAGATGGTATTTGGAACTGTGATTGAGTTACTTTCTGCTTAAAAAGACAAAAATTGCTAGAAAGGGAAATTTATTTGAGAACTACTTTTTTTACTCAAACTCAACAAAAAAACTTTGAGTTTAATATGTAATATGTCAAACTTTCGAAGCGATGCTCCAAGAAGACATATCATGATACAAGTTGCGATACACCCGAAGAAATCCGTACCTCGACAAGAAAGTCGGACTGGTATTTCATCAGATCGTGCGAACTCTATTAACTTGAAAGATGCGGGTGTCGAAAAAAGAAAGGATTCACTCCGCGAACTTTGGTGGAAATTTGTATCCGAGACAACTTGTCATGGATTTGGAAAAGTAGGCACCGTGCGAGGAAACCGATTGAGAGGGTAAGTAAACTGTGTTACTTTGAATGTTTTACAATTTTGATCTGTTCCAATTATATCTTATGCCATACGTAAGTCTTCCTGAGTCACTAACTACGGGTGCTCATTTTGCCACTACCAGTGCAACTGTACCAACACAAAGACTACAAAGTTATATAGGTTTTGTTTCTTAGTCTAGTTTTCGAAATCAATACTCGATTTCTTTATATGATTCACAGATGCTGCGACATTTTGGTATATTTGTAGTTTCGAAAGCCTTTTTAACCAAAATTCAAAATACATGTACATTTATCTTGAGAGGATTTTTTTTCATTACAATTGTATTCATATGATGTTACCGAGAAAAGAGAACAATCGAATATGCAAAATCTGAATACATGTGTTTTCTTATTCAAATAGAGTTTTATGGATACTTTTCCTTCCAACCTCACTGGTTTCCATCGTCTGGTTTTTGATAGACGAGTTTCGGAGTTACTACTCATATCCGTTTCTAAGCAAAATATCTCTGGAGAGTTTCGAAAGAATGCAATTTCCCGCGGTTACTATCTGCAACATGGGTTCCAAGAACAAATCAAGATCTTCTAAATCTCAAAAAGATACTGATTATTGGTTATCGATCTCCACCATGGCGGCTTTTAGCAATGAAGTGGACTGGAATGATTCGTATTACAAGGAAAATGGATATTTTGAGCCAAATAGTTTGGAACAAGAACTGAGCATGGACGTCTCAAAGTTTATTTTGACGAGCACCTTCGACTTCCTGGATGGACAGGTGTTCGAACCTATCCTGACCTCTTTAGGGGTTTGCTTTACATGGAACGGTAACGGAAACGTGACTACAAAAATGAGCGGATCTCTTTACAATCTTCACGTCCTACTGGACATACATAGGGATCTTTATGAAGCCGGATTCATCTCCACGGCTGGAGTCAAGGTCTATAGCTATTTTTGTATTTTAAACAAAGAGACTGATCACCTTTGATTCGTATTTTAATTAAAAAAACGACAGTGAACGTTTTTCAAAGATCATCTTGTTCGATGTCTGTATAAAACCATTCATGTTTGGTCAAATTTTCGATATTTTTAGCTCTACTGGTCAGACACCAGAAGATTTTATGCGATGGTAAGGTGTCCGACCTCCATCCGTCTGTCTGTCTGTCCGTCTGTCTTTAAACAATTTTTCAAAACTCTACTCCTCCTACAGTTTTGGTTTAATTTCAATATAACTTGGCACACAAGTAGCCAACACCAAGATACATAATATAGTGCACATAATATAGTGCATTTTGATGAACGGGGGTGTTGCCATGGTTACTAAAAATAGAAAGTTCTGTGAAATTCCTTTCAAACTACAGTTTTGATGTGATTTTAATATATCTTGCCACACAAGTAGAATGCACTAAAATGCATAATTTAGTACATCGGTTTTTGATTTTGATGAACGGTGTTGCTATGGTTACTAAAAATAGAAATTTCTGTGAAATTCATTTAAAACGCTACCCCTCCTACAGTTTTGGTCTGAATTCAATATAACTTTGCATACAAGTAGACTGCACTAAGATACATAATTTAGTACATGAGTGTTAGATTCTTTTGGAGCAGTTTTGCTATGGTTTCTAAAAATAGAAATTTCTGTGAAATACTTTCAAAATGCTACCTCTCCTACATTTATAGTCTGATTTCAGTATAACATGACACACAAGTAGACTACTCTGAGATACATAATTCTTTTATCGATTTTTTTTTTTTTGAGCATTGTAGCCGTGGTTACTTTAATAGAAAAGCTTGTAAAATACTTTCAAAACACTACTACAATTTTGGTCTGATTTGAATATAACTTGGACACAAGATTTCAAACTCAGATAAATAATTCTGTGTATCGATTTTTGATTTGGAATAATAGTGTTGCCATGGTTACTAAAAATAGAAACTTCTATGAAATACTTCCAAAATGCTACTCCTCCTACAGTTTTGATCTGATTTTAAGATACTTTGCCCAAAAGTAGACTTCACTGAGATGCATAATTTTATTTGTTTTTGATTTTGATGAACAATCTTGCTATGGTTACTAAAATTAGAAATTTTGGTGAAATTCTTTTAAAAGGCTACTCATCTAACATTTTTAATCTGATTGCAATAAATCTTGCCACAAAGAGACTAAACCAAGGACCATTATTCTATTTATTGCTGATGCATAGTTTCAAGTGCTACTTTTCTCTTCCTTTAATTGTTATAAATACAAAGCAGCAGAGCTACAGCCTCATCAGAAACTTCTGGTTATCTTATTATAATAAGCAGTGAGATACAAACGCAACAGAATCTTTGTAAATATTTGATGAGTACATAGAGCAAAGATTGTTCAATAAGATAAATAAAAATGTAAGCTTCCCACCCCCGGCCCCCATGTTTTACACATGTAGACTGATTTTTTATGATTGAAAATGAGAGGGGAAAGATCGAAAGCAAAATGTTATTGCCGCATGGCTACAATAGCAGGCCCGTAGGAACGGTTTCAAAAGTGGAAGGGGGAAGCAAATCCTCCCTCCCCCTCCAAAAAATCTAACAGGCAAAAAAAAAAAAATCTTCAACGGTCCAAAAAGTTGGGGGGGGGGGATTTTCCAAAAATTATCTGACAAGCAAAAAAAAACCTCCTTAACTATCCAAATCCTAGAATTTGCAGGTACACGATATTACAGAAAAAAAAAACGGGGAGGGGGGGGGGGCGCAACCAGTATATAATTAAAATTTACTAAAGCAAAAATACTACACTAAGAAAAAAGAGTGTAATACTGAAATTTAGTTCACTCTTGTGATGTATCATTATTTTAACTTAAGATTGCTCAATAAATGAGATCTGACCTCGAGTTAAAGCCGGGGAATCTTTTAGTCATTGGAATTTTTTACAACAAAGCCCTCGAATATATTCTATTCTAACTCGTTGGATTGAGCTAAAATCACACAATATGAATTAAATATCCACTACATATCGGCTTGGCCAAGATCAGGTGCCCGTATTGGTTGCAGATTAACAAAAAAATGAAGTCAAACAAAATGTATTACAAATATGTTCTATGTAACACTACATCCTTTTGGCAGATTGTCTGAAATTTCTGTCCATTTCTGTCAAGCGGTTAAAAAGATTTCACTCTTAATATAGCAGAGACCCAAGTGGACTACGGACTATACATATTCAGGCATAACATTTATCTGTATCATATTCAACTAAACAAAAAAGTATAACCCAAATACAAACTCTTCACAAAACATTGTCTGAGCAAGAAAAATCACATAACTCATTTCCATTAAAATGTTACAGTATATAAAGGACATGGGTAAATTTGTTAATCTTTGGGAGTTTTTCTACCCTTATTATTTGGACATCTGAAGTAAAAATACATTAAAGTACTTTCAATTTTTCTAAAGATATTGTATGTGGGGATGAAAATTTCAAACTTATTTGTTGAAAAATACCTGTTTGTATCAGTAAATATTTGTTAAAATTATCATCATGGAGTTCACAAGTGTTTAATGAATTCTTTCATTTGGATATTAAATCAATTTATACAAAAATCCCGTGAAATTTAACGAAATAAAACGAAAAACTTCGAATAAATTCACAATACGAGTAAAATATAAATTGTCAGAACAAAATAATACATGTCTGAATTACATGTAATTGGTGTTTTGAAAACAAAATATAGTTCAAGACCATCTGGAGACGAAGAATTGGCTTTAATTTAGCATCTATGAAGGCTGGATTTCACGTGAGCACTGGGGCTACGGACTATACCGTTAGACATCTCTGTTGTGAACAATCCACTTAAAGAAAATATAATTGTATAATTAAATTTTGGGCAATTTTTTTTATTATTTGGCATTCCATAAAAGTTCACGCTACTGAGTTTGAGTATTCAAAATACCATATTTAAAAATCAATTGTCTAATGTATTGTGTACTTTTAATGCCAAATGAAATTTCAGTTCAACTAATTAATGCATTATTGGTATTCAAACTATAATGAATAAAAGCAAAAGGAGCTGTATTTAAATCGAGGCATGTTTTTTTTTTTTGGGGGGGGGATGGGGGTTACAGACTATATTGCTTCATATTTTTTTTACTTTAATGTAATACATTGTAATACATGGAGCTCAAGGTGGTCATTCAAAAGGTGTATGGGTATATAATTTCTCATGATCATATGGTGTAATTCATAAAAAAGTTACAAAACATGATTGATCATTTGAAGTAAAAACATGATTAGTACAATATTTATCCATCAAGAATCAATGCTTTTTTTAAATTAACGATTCAGTGACAAGTAGAGTGGGTGACACAATTATAAGAGTGAAGGTCTCACTCTGTACTAAATTGCAAAGTAAGGAGTTGATCCTTATGTTTTGGGATCAAATCCCACTATGGGATGTTAAGACTGGTTGATGAGAAGTAATAAACCATTGAAGCCCAATTTTGCAGTAGATGCATGCAGGAAAAAAAATCTTGCTAATACAGAAGTACGGTTATATGGCCTTAAAGCTGACATGAACTCTTAAATATGTGATATTTTCATCCTTGTACGACTTATTTCATTCCCGTACTCCCTTTCCCGCCATATTTCTTTCATATTCGCTCACTTATTTTACCGGCTATATAAACCCTGATGCCTTTTTTACACTTGAGTGATTTTCTAGCCTGGCTGTTGACATGTACACATCTCCGATAGCAAAGTTTTGGAACACGCTATGAACTGACCGAAAACATGTAGGCCTGTACACATCTCCGATAAAGCAGTTTTGGAATATGCAATAAATTTAGCAATCCTACCAAAACTCGGATTTTTTATTTTGAAAACTGGAAATGAGTATATAAAATTTGAATAATTTAGATGCAATGCTAAAAAATCAAAACGGAAAATTCAAGTTTGGTATACGTATATATTTGAACAATAAAGAAGAAAAGGCTACCACATCCATTTTTTTTCCTCCAAATAACACTACTCTTGAGCTTTATGCATGCTACACGGTATAAGCACATACTATGCAACTTACGCATTCAAGTTGTAAATGCATGCATGCCGAGAAAACGCGTCGAACGCTCTAAAATCATCTGCCTGAAATACTGCTATCGCTACAGGGATGTGCACATGTCGAAAGAATTATTTCCTATTTTCCTTTTATTGAAATATGCATCACAGAAGAAATAAATCCATTTGTAACTCAAACGGCAAACACATTGTCACTAGCACTTGAACACACGTGGTCCCTGCCGATCAGCATTTTTGGTCAGGGAAAATATCGAAGGTGGAAATGACATTGGTGTTATTTGCCTGATTAGACAATATAGTCACGCAAAGAAATCGAACTAGCTGTTGTCGGTACATGTAGTAAATATGTTCATGAATGTGGCTTCACTACTTCAAATTTATTACATAAAGATACATTCTTGTTACGGATCTTAATTACATCTTTTAAAGAGAATGAAAAGGGGGCGGGGGGGGGGGATATGTAGAATACATTTTTTTCAATATGTCGGAAAAAGGTAGGATTTTCCTTGATCAAATATATTTAAATACGTGCAATGAACTGGCCTCAACTATTTTAGATATAAAACTAATATATCTTAAATTTACACACACTGAACAATTTGTTTCTGTAGACAAATTATTTTCAAATTAGAGCCCTTTTAGGCGTTACAAATTACAAGCACAATTATCAACAAGCACTGACAGACTTACTCAACTTCAATATATACAAAAACATGTAATGTAGATTATTTTATATACACATAAGCACAGACATAATTATGTGTAGTTAAAATAATCTACATTACATGTTTGAAGTTGAGTATATATTACACTATTAGTATTATATGAAACTAATATTGATAACTGAAATAGTTCTACTGTGTACCCAAATGTAAAGTGGGCTGATTCAACAATCCTCGTATTGTCAAAGATATCACGAGGCGATGCAAAAGTACTAATCATTACATTACGTAAGTGTTTTTTTTTTAACAATTACACATATTTACACGTTCTAGATATTAAAAAAAAATTGTAATATGACTGAATGATTAAAATATAAAAATTGTAATATGACTGAGTGATTAAAATATAGTTGCGCGTGCATGTGTATTATTTCTTTAAATATTATATAATTAATAGTCAAAGTTTGTAGGAAAGGAAAACATGTGCCCCTGAGAGTGTCCCCCCCCCCCTCCAAGTTTTTTTTTTTTTTTTTTTTTTTTAAGTTTTGATATTTTTTTTCTTGTCTAAATATTTCTGGTAGGAAGCCTCTGTGCTCTTCAGTGTTTCTAATAGGTATAGAGAAACAAAAAAAACTGACTTTGTTTCCTCTGGAAAGTACGTGAGAGGGGTCCACATGTTTCCATTCCCGTGAAATATAGTTTTCACAATTGTTTAGTTCCCCTTTCGTTTGGGTGTGTAGGTTTTTTCTTCTTTTCTTTCTTTTTTTTTTTTGGCTTGTCAAAAAAAGGAGACTTTTTTTCAGCAGGTTTGATCCACTCTGCCCCAGAAAAATTCCTTGATCTGCCGTTATAAAGACTATAACATTTCCCAAGATTTCTACTACATCGGATTTTTTTATGCATTATTGCTCTTACATGTAAAGATGCTTACACGAGAGAGAGAGAGAGAGAGAGAGAGAGAGAGAGAGAGAGAGAGAGAATATACTTGTATTGAAAATGCAAAAAAATATTTATCCATAATCTTGCGGATAAGATTTCAAGTAATCCTTAAACTATCTTTTAAGATTTTTTCAAAATACAAGAAATTGATTAGGTACCAAATTTTAGACTGCCTGTGGAAACTCTCCAGTCTGGAAAGGCTTCCTATACATGCATATAAAACAGGCACGTAGCACCGTTTCTCAAAATGTGTGTATGCGAGGGAGAATGGGGGGGGGAGTAAAATGATTGACAAGCAAAAGAAAAACTTAAAACTTAGGCACTTAAAAATTTGGGGAAGTGAAGAAGAAAACAGGCACTTAAAAAAAATAGTCAGGGGAGGGACAGATTCCATTCATACTATCATTTTCAGCAGAAAAATAATTGAATACAATGTACAATAATGTTGGATAAGAGTTGGGGGGGGGGAGTCTTGAAATAAAAAAAAATCCTTACAAAATCAACCGTAAAAGACAGGCCTGTAGAACGCGTGGGTGGGTTTTTTTCGAGCATAATGTTTTACTGTTTAGTATGAAATACACACTCAAAGGCTGACCCCCTCCACTTTTTGTTGCACTATAGTCAAATCGTCGAAAAAGCCGCTACCCCCCCCCCCCCCCCATCACCGCCACAAAATTGGATTTTGGAGATTTTTTATAATTATTTTTGTTTATTTTTTATCATTATTATTATTGTTATAATTTTTATTATATATATATATATATATATATATATATATATATATATATATATATATATATATATATATATATATATATATATATATATATATATATATTTACTTGTCAAAGATTTTTCAGGTAAAGTGTTAATTATTTCTTAGATGCTAAACGACACACATGCCTGAAAGACTCTGAGAAAAGGGGGTATCCCCCCCCCCCCCCCGCTCCACGTGTGTGTTTATATATTTGTTGATTTGTGTTCTGGTTAAATGCTTTTGTGTTGTGTTCTAAATCATTTTCTTACACCAAATTACTCAGTTTATTTTTTTAGATAATCAGCAATCAAACTTTTTTAGTGATTTCTTAATTTTTACCCAGTCGCGCAAATACTAATTCCCTTTTTCACTTTTGATATTTTCCCTGACCAAAATCTGATCAGCACGGACTAAGTGTATTTGAGTGCTAGACTGTACGATGAAGTGACAACGTGTTTATTGTTGAGTATTTATGGACTTATTACTTTTTTGTGATGCATATTTCAATAAATGGAATACAAGGTGTAATTCACTCGGCATGTGCACATCTTCGAACAGGTATAGTGGTCTATTTCCAGGTATGAATAAGTTTACAGCGTTCGACGTGTTCTCTCAATTGTATTTGAATGCATATGGATATGCATAGCAAATATGCTGGTTGTTTGTTCCATTCTTACGATAGATTATTGCAAATTGTTTGTACGAGTTTACTATGTATAATTTCAAGTTTATTATGCATATATTGGTATGCCTTAAAAAACACGCGCAACTATGTTTTTTCTTCCAAACTTGCATTTATATTATTCAAAACGATAATTATTCATAATTATCGTTATGACTGTTTTTATCTGTTCTGGATTTTAAATGTTTTCATCAATTCATGTGTTCCCAAATACTTTACTATCGGAGATGTGCACGCGTCGATAGCCAAACCAAAAATTCACTCAAGTGTAACGAAGGCACTGGGGTATATATCGTTACCATAAGACAAGGTATCTGAAAGAAATATGGCGGAATAGTTGGTATGAAACAAGTCGTACATTGATGCAAATGTTGCGTTTTTAAGAATTCATGTCAGCTTTGAATATGCTTTTATTTGTAGAGTCCGTAGCCCTTTTGTAAGTAGGATTTTTGTGGCTAAATATCCTTTTAGAAATATTACAATGCAAATTATTTTAAATGGAATGATAGTATGTATCACAAGAAGGAAAACATTATCTTGTATATTTAGAAATATGTTGTGACCACAAACATAACAGGATAGACTACAGAAGCAAGCCTTTAGTTGAAAAATGTTAATTTTCAGACATTTTATCTTTAATTACAGTGGTATTTGTATTTAAAAACATTGCATTTGTTTGAATAAAGATATTATTGTATTGTAGTTATTGTATCAATAATGTATATGACTTTTTCTGGAAGTTATTATATTAGGGCTACGGACTATACAGGGCTACGGACACCAATTATTCTTTAATAACTTCTTTTGGTGTTAGCGCAAAAGCTATTCATTACTGTTTTTTATTTGACTGGTAACTGTGAAAATATCAAGCAAGAGCATGATTAATTATACATTCTTTTGTTGAACACAAACTATAAAGAAATATGGGGCTACGGACTATACAAAAACTTTGACCAGTATGGGAAAAAAATTACAAAATGTGCACGCATTTTACCATATAACCACTATATTTTTCTCATAGTACTTTTTTTCTTAAGTAAAATAAAAAAAATTAAACACATTATATTTGCTCTTTTTTGCTAAAAATTATGCATTTATTCCAACATTGATAAATCTTGAATTATATAACAAAAGTATATCTACACACATTTATTCACAATTTCCACAATTTTTATCCTTTTTCTTTTCTGTAAAAATTAAACTAAACCAGAGTGATTTTTCTATAATTAAGTATATTTATTTTTAAATGTTTCATTCAAAATAATTTTAATTCACCATTATTTAAAATGTAAAAAATCAAGTGCAACAGCATAACGCTTCAAATATTATGAATCTTTGACTTTATTCTGTTGTTTTTTCAAAGACGCAGATACTATATATATGATATTATATACCAATGGAAAGCTCTCTTTCTGCTCTTTGCAATGCAACAAAAGACATTTAGATTAGATGTAACTATAAAGAGTTACATCTATATAACATCATTTAGTTGGAAATGGGCACCTGGTCTTGGCCAAGCCGATATGTTAACCAGTAATTTTAAGATGAAAAGATTCTACTCCTAATATAAACACTGATTGTATTTCAAACTGTGGCAGGACACTTCTTCTTTCTACTACGTTTGAAGACTCTACTCAAGCTACATGCATGTCATTTCTCGTTCTTTTATATGATATAGGTTGTGGTACATGAGCCAGGCACCGTACCGGATCCTATCAATCAGGGGTTTGTTGTCGCCCCCGGAGTGTCTGCATTGGCATCCGTGTCCAAGAAGAGGGTAACCATAGAAATACTGGCTTAAATCTACTCATCTACTCAGTAGTTTTGTTTTAGTAGTTCTACTTGTAGTATCTTGGCAGTGGTACGGACAAAGGGGGCGGGTGTAGAAAATAAACATGGGATTTGGGAATATGTAACATTGACCATGCCATGGTTGCTTTACAATTTCAAAGGTTGCAAAAGTATTATAGTTTTACACAAAAGTGCAATTCTTTTCTTTCGAAACACAACCTTACTCCCCTAAAAAAAATAACCCCTAATTTTTTTCTATTTTTGTTTCTTTTCCTTGAAAACCTTTGAGACTGGTATCAAAACATGTGAATCCCTGTAGAGGATGACCATGTATTAGTACAAGTATCTGAGCTGCACAAAGATATGATTGAATAACCCTTTTATATGTTGCTTTTGGACTCTCGTTGCCTTGTCTTGATATTTGAGTAATTTGACTTAATTATTGGTCAATTTCACATCTAATCTCTATTGTAAATTACATGTACCTTTTCTAATTAACTTCTTCCACTTTAAGTATACGTAAATTAAGATTCACATTATATTGGGTACGGAATTTTTTCCGTTTACCCGATCATGACAAGAAGCATATGGCGGGTGTGACCGGTCGACAGGGGATCCTTACTCCTCCATGGCACCGGACCCTGTTCACGACTTGTATTGTTTAAATGGACTTTTGCTCATGATCATTGTTCGTTATCTTCACATTTCAATCAAATTGACCCAGGCATTGTTCTTTGAATATTAACTGAACTTAGTTTCGGAACTGGTAGATCTATAAGTTAAGCGGGCATGCGCCTATCTCAACTTTTATTTTTTTTTCTTCCGTATTAACTTTATTTTCTGCGTAATTAGACTAATGTCAAGACCTTTTTCTCTAGAAAACGTCTGTTACAACGCACTTTGAAAAATTACGCACTTTGAAAAAATTTTTCAAAGTGCGTTAATTTTGGGACCACGTTAACGCACTTTGAAAAAAAAATATTTCTTTTCAAAGTGCGTTAATATCGACCATATTAACGCACTTTGAAAAAAAAAATTGTGCACGGCTTGGTCAATATTCTTGCAAATTTTAGGTATGATAAATAATTATTTGAACCTGGTTGGATAACTTTTCGGTGATGACGTCAGGATCTGAGATATAGACGTTTTAAAGATTTTTAGGAGTTGTCTTGTTTCCAAAGGTTCTTGTAACTGTTATAAAAGGGAAATGGGTCCTAGGAATAATGGAGGAATGATTTTTTAATGGCACAGTTTCGTTTCTTTTTTTCTTTTCTTTTTTAAATTTTACCCAGTCTCTAATAAGTTCGGTAGATATAGGTGTCGAGAAGTGACTTAAAGCATCGCATTTTTCTTAGGGAAAAGGGAGCAATCATGATTTTTCCATACCTCTCTCTATCTCATCTCTTTTTCTATCATATTCATCTATCTATCTATTGTGAACATATATGAAACAATGGTTGACTCATTTATTTGATAGTAAGAAAATAAACCTTGGCAACATTACTCACTCGACTGAAATTTTTACCTCGTTCACTAATACCTTTTTCTCAAAAATTTATGCAGTCAGATTACTTCGAAATCTGTAATTTGATATCATAAAAACGCTAGACATGTCAAATAGCGTGTTTTAATTACCACGTAAAAGCATTTTTTCTGAGGAATCATTGTGGATATATTTTTGAATAAAGGTTATGCGGCTTTCTTCTTTAATATAATAGGGTTCGTATTTTTTTTTTTCAGGGAAGCTTATCTCAATTTTTTCATCTATTTTACGTTAACTCAAATTTATTGAGAGAAATAATATCAATGTCACACCAGTTATGTAAATACATATATTTGTGTACGAAAGATAGAGAGCTGGGCTGAGGGCCTTTCTACCTGCCATCTCCTCATTCTCGATGAGGGTAGATCAATTCATCAGTTTTTCGGAAGAAATGTAACAAATTAATGCTGTCTATTATTAAAATCTAAGTCCACAATTTTTGTTTTATACGTATTTTTTCAAAGTGCGTTGAGTGTCTCCATGGTAAAAAATGTTGATGTACACTCTTAACGCACTTTGAAAAAAATTTTCAAAGTGCGTTGATTTAGTCCAAAATTTAACGCACTTTGAAATTTTTTTTCAAAGTGCGTTGATTTTGTCCCAATTTTAACGCACTTTGAAAATTTTTTTCAAAGTGCGTAATTTTTTCAAAGTGCGTTGCCACAAATGTCACGTATATTTGTATTATGAAAGGTTGTATTTAAAGAAATAACCAAAATTCGTGATTTTTTTCTCGCATATAAATACAAAATAGCTAGTTGCAAAAATATATAAAGATCGCAAATCTTTGGTTGATTAATGAGCTGCATTGTAACATCATACGAGATCTCATAATGAATTGTGAATACATATATCATTCTGGCCATACCTTTTTTAGAGACGATTTCTGGTTTTGAAATTTATATTGCCAGAAATATTTTTGTGTCATGAAGATAATAAAAAACAATCCTGCATGAACCTTGATGTAATTAACACCATACAAGTTCTAACTAATGAGAATGTATTTCACTGATTTGTTTTAGTTTACCTTTTTGCCATATCCGTTCAAAGCATTTGCGGATGGGTATTGTTTGAACACAGATGCTCCAGATTTTGTCAACAAATTTCATCCCAGACCGTACAGTGTTGGCATTTGTAAAAAGTTCTGCCTCTCAGAATTAATATTCAAGAAATGTGGTTGTGTGCGGGTTGGTGATTTAGGTAAATATTTTTTTCCCTAATGATCACGTGCTTTTCTTCCGCCAGTATCACCCAAGTTGCCATATCCCACAGGCCCGTAGCAACTTTTTTCAAAGTGGGGTCTGACCTCCGAAAAAAAATTGACAAGTAAAAATAAAAAAAAAATCGGTACATTTTATTTTCAATTGCCTGAATTCGCCAGTGTTTGACCGTACAGCAACAAAAAGTGTGTATGTGGGAGAGGGGGGGGGGGGGGGCAAGCAGCTCCCAACTGAAAATTTACATAGTAACCCCCCCCCCCCCCCCCGCGTTCTAGGGCCCTGTCCCAGGTGTTAGTCAATATCGTGCACTTAATCATGTTTCTGGAGAGCCATTTGGCTTATTGGGGGGGGGGGCAAATTTCATTTCTTCATGTCATAAGCTTTAAGAAATGCCAGGTCGAAGTAACGTCATAGATAATGGGCAACATTCGACCGTGCTACCCCTGCAACAAACAGTCTTCTAAGGTATGGGATTTCTTTACTTTTTTCTACTGACCTGACTTGTGCTATAAAAATTCTTTAAAAAATAATCAATACTTAGCAATTGTATTTTAAACTAGATTCCTGAAAGAAGTATTTAAAATCATGAATTTCTCATGATACTGATATAGTGGGTGGTACATGATATGAGATTTATTCGCCCCAATTATTATATATTTATTATCATATATGAAATTTTTTGGTATACTAGTAATTCTTTTTCAGGAATTCACCCTATTTGTTCAAAGTACCAGATCTCGAAATGTTACCTGAAAGAAATAGGTATGTAGAATTTTGAAGAAAGTCATTATAATTAACACATATAAGTATATATATGTTTTCTGGATGAGATTTGAAAACTGTAAATTTTTATTTATGAAGTAATTTTCCAGTGAAACTGATATACCGGGAAGCTCAGAATGTTATCCATTGTGACTGCCCCTACCCGTGCCAGCAAACGAATTATGACGTCTCAGTGTCCACTAGTCAGTTTCCCTCCGATATTTTGGTCCAGATTCTGTCTTCACACTTCAACACATCAAAGGAACGATTAAAGTAACACAATTTCAAATTTTCCCAATTTAATGGAGAAAAATGTTAACTTTTTACACGCCCATTTTCTGAATCATTTCTATTTATTCCTCAAAAACAAATTACACATAAATATTAATATACAAATGTACATCTTCGAAATAGGGACACCATATTGGAAATATCGATATTTTATGACAAGCTGAATTACTTCTGGACGAGGCAAATTCCGAAGTATGAAAGAATAGGAGATGTCTTGGGTGCGTACTTTTGGTGTCTGTGCCTTTCTGTGATAATACCTAAATTTGTGTAAAGGAATTCACTTTATTATGCATATATTCATATATTTATGGTCCTTAAAATTGTTATTTAGCTAACATTGGTGGCCAGATGGGATTATTCATTGGAGCAAGTGTTCTCACAATAATGGAATTCATGGAAATAATGTTTTTAGTCTTGCTGTTTATCTTCAAACAACTAAGCTCCAAGTCAAGAAAACATCCGAAAGACAATGGTGCCTAGCATCTTATTTTTTACGAGAGAGAGAAAGAGTGAGAGAGAGAGAGTTTTGTGAGTGAGTAAGGATATTAAGTAAAAAAAATAAAAGCTGACAAATACATATAGAAAGAGATTTTTAATAAACATAACCGGTGAATTTTGTACAATAAAGTTTGTAATACTTGTTGATGTAAACTGTCATGTATAAATTGTATGTCAATATGATTTATATATATATATTTAATTTGTGAATATTGAAATCAGATTCAGCAAAGTGTATTTATTTGCATTGTATTATTTTAGGGGGAAACGTTAAGCGTTTTTAATCGTGAATAAACAAGAATGCTCACGGATAATATTTAGGGCTGGGACAACTTACAACTTTTTCTATATCGATACGTATCACGATATTTGAGCCATGATACGATATGTATAACGATATGTTGAATTGGTTATAAATTTGTTTTTTTAAAAATTGAAATGAACAAAACATTTCTTCACAAATAAGAAAGATTTATTCAACGAAGTTGCTTATCTGTTGTAAAACAAAATTATTTTACATAATTGATGTTAATTATTATGTATTTCATATCTATATTTAGCATAATTATTTTACATATTAAACCAAAAAATGTTTACTTAAGTAAACAAAGAAAAACATACGTCAGAATTTTTTTTGCGATATTTCTTCGTACGTATCGATATGCGTATCGTCTTCACATAGAATCGATATTATCGACATCTCGATATATCGTCCCAGCCCTAATAATATTGAAAAACCTGTTGTGCCCCCCCCCCTACTCAAACTTAGATCGCTCACACCTGTCTTATGAATGTCTTTACGTCATTTATATCATATAGAGGTATTTCGTTGAAACTATCTGAGTGTAGTTTAATCAAGAAATTACCGCTTATGACCTGGATGTATGTACTAATCCTATGGGAGCATTCCAGTCATTGTCCGCCTGTTTTAATTTTCAATCAAGTTTAGAGCCTGTAACACTCGGAACACGAACACAATTATCAAATGTCGCATACATTTAGAACAAGATTGGTTCGTTTATAACTGCATAACAAATAAAAAGTTGGATATATCTTTATGAAGCTTCTCCGACTAGAGATTTGCCGGATAAAGATACTTAAAAAGGGACTGACTATAGTATAGCATAAGACTTGCATCGCTTGACACGATTATGTGTAATTTCTGGGAACCTATATGTAGTTCCTTTTAGATATACCATAGTATAAATCACAGGCTACGAAGAAATCAACGGAATATGAACGTGCATAAATGCATATCTTTTTAAACTGAATTTATTTTTGTAAAGCTACTATATTATCACATGACTTTAATATTAATAGAAATAACATTGTATACGCCGCTCTGTATTGAATTTGGTTTGGTCACGTTATTTGACAGTCACGTGATAAATGTATGTAATGTGTACTGTATCAGAGTAGGTCATAAACAAATTTCAATATCGCAAGGGCATACCCTAAATCAAATTAAAAACTTAAGTAATAAATTGTTTCTACATATCTTGTAGTTTATTGAAAGTGCTACTACTTTAAATAGAATTCGCATTTTATTAGTTTAAATTTCAAGTTATTTAGCTCTAGTCGAAATATGTTTGCATGATCTTTACCAAGTATTTTATGTATTTATTAAGAAATGCTCTCGATTTCAGGAGAGCAGCAGCACTTTTCAAGTTAAGGATTGTTTCCGTTGTGTATATTTAAAAATTGGTCAAGATCTATAAAGTGTATGCCCTTGCGAAAAGGCGATTTAATGAGACACCTCGGCGTGAAACATTCAAACCCTGTACAAAAAACACGGTAGAATTAATTCAATACATTCTCTTGATAGTTTTTAAATGGTGGCACTAAACAATGGTTTCAGATTTGCATTAATGGTCTTCCTAACATTTGCAAAAAATATTCTCTTTAATAATAAAATACAGTTTTCACTGTGAAAAAATTACTTGATCCTCCTCTTACTGCACATAAAATGCGTCAAATTTTACCATGATGATGTCATGTCGACAAGTGCATTGTAATCAGTGACTTGTTTATATCTTGCTTTGTGGGATTTAACTGGCGATAAAAATGAATGTATTACGGGATGGATTTGTCCGTCAAATTTTAATTCTGGGCCAACCGTGAGTTTTCCTCTTATTGTTGAACCCAGTTTCATGAAACCCCCAATAAGCCAACACGCGTTATAGTTTAGTACTTTTATATAGAATCAGCATGGAATATACTTTTACATGAGTTTGGGATGTATCAGCACCGAAGGTCTGATTCCAACTGACTATAATTTTTAACAACAAAACATACATATTGAACAAAGATATGACAAAATAAAGGGATTAACAAGAACGTATAAAGAAATCAAGTATCAACAATTATTGAGCGACTGATGACATTTTAGCGACATATGTATATAATAGAATTAAAGAAGATGAAAGATTAAGTGACAATAAATATAAACAGAAGTCAATTAGGAGATTAACTGTCCATGTCAGACTGCCTCAGGTAGGATTAAAGCTGTGCGGAATTTATAGAATTTATCACATTTGCCGAAATATACGAAAAGTTTTTATAACAATTTACACATAGTCCGAAAAGTTAATTTACACAGTAATTTATAATTAGTCCGAAAAGTCGTATTTTACACCGTAACACATGCTCCGCCTTCGCGTAAAACACGTCCTCGTGTTTTGATTTTTTTTTCAATAAAACTGGCCTCTTCTTGGTCTTCCCTGATGTCTACGTGGTTGATATCGTTGTTTATTTTCCACAAACAAGGCGAGCAAATGATCCTTTTCATTTTCCAATATTCGGATGGTCTGTAGCAGGGCTTTGTTTTCTTCCCTTAACTGTTTGGTTGTTTTCACAGCTTCTGCCTGAATTTTCATTACATACTGATTATGTTCCTTTCCGATCTCGTTCAATTTCCTCTGCATTAAGTCCATAATCACTCTGTCACCGTGCGCGTCGTCTTCCAATTTGCGAATTTTCTCACGATAGATGTTATCATTAGAATTGTTAGATTGTTCTTGCATCTTTTTCATAACCATATTTTGATTTTGAAGTTTTTTGATTTCAGATTCGGCTTTTGTTAATTCGGCTGTCAATCTCCTTTTCTCTTTATTTGCATTGCATATTTGAATTTTTAGATTTTTCAGCTCAGTTCGTAGAACACACGAATTATCACATATTGAACGAAACTGACTGTCCCGAAGAGAACTGAATGGCAATTCTCGCAGAATTCGTTTATTTTCGAGATACTTGCACAGTCGTTTCATGTCTCGAGCGTTTTTCCTGCTAGCAACCGGTCCCTTGTCTTCACTTTTTGGCTTTGTTTCTTTAATCAGTGTGAAGCACATTCTAGAATAATGTCCAATTCTTTGACATCTGTAGCACTTCTGGTTAAACGCGAAACATAAAACGTTAGGATGCACGTTACCACACCTTCCGCACACTGGATGCTGACATGAAGGGAAGTTGAACTTCTTCTGTCTCCACTGCGGTCGGAAAGAATATTCCATTGCTAGTCCTAACACGTGTACGTCTGCTTCATGTGTATCAGCACTAAAAAACCGGGGGAAACTCGCTATTTGGCTCTTGTAGAGGTCCAGGATCTGACTACTACAAAATATATGTAGCAGCCCCGGGTGTCGTTACCCTTAGGTTTCTCACACCAAGTATTACGGGATGGATTTGTCCGTCAAATTTTAATTCTGGGCCAACCGTGAGTTTTCCTCTTATTGTTGAACCCAGTTTCATGAAACCCCCAATAAGCCAACACGCGTTATAGTTTAGTACTTTTATATAGAATCAGCATGGAATATACTTTTACATGAGTTTGGGATGTATCAGCACCGAAGGTCTGATTCCAACTGACTATAATTTTTAACAACAAAACATACATATTGAACAAAGATATGACAAAATAAAGGGATTAACAAGAACGTATAAAGAAATCAAGTATCAACAATTATTGAGCGACTGATGACATTTTAGCGACATATGTATATAATAGAATTAAAGAAGATGAAAGATTAAGTGACAATAAATATAAACAGAAGTCAATTAGGAGATTAACTGTCCATGTCAGACTGCCTCAGGTAGGATTAAAGCTGTGCGGAATTTATAGAATTTATCACATTTGCCGAAATATACGAAAAGTTTTTATAACAATTTACACATAGTCCGAAAAGTTAATTTACACAGTAATTTATAATTAGTCCGAAAAGTCGTATTTTACACCGTAACAAATGCAGTGGTTAGTTTTGATGTAGTTCATTACTCATATGCAGTTTAAAATCGCAATTTTTTTTCATTTTCTGTTAGTGTGAGGAATTGCTATTTTTGTGTGATGTCACAGTAAGCATTTCCCGTATAATTAAGGTCCCGCTCTTTTTATAGAATAGAATAGAATAGGATTTATTACCAAATCAGGACCCAATGGGCATAAACATATAACATGTATAATTACAGATAAGATAACAGACAGAATACAACATATAATGAAGAGCAATTCTTCCCATTTAGTACATTGGTGGTGTTTTGAGTTTCACATGTAGACATAGGTTGTCTTTATTTAAGATATATCTGTACTCTTAATTAATACAACTTAATGTGCAATGATGTGCATTACTATTACTAATATTATACATATAACTGAACACATAAAAAATGTCTGATACATCAACAAGAGGCAGCAAGAGACGGTGCTAAAGGATATACAGAAATCCACTTCTGCCTCATGTAGAATAAACAGATACATAATCTATGGAAAAGAGTATTAAAAAAAAATAATAATAATAACAATAATAATAGTATAATAATAATAATAATTAAGAAAAAAAATAGTATGTTGAATGGCATGTGTAAATTACATTAAACTGCAATGGACAGCAAGAGTCAGTGCTGAAGGATAGTATTATTATTTTAATTAATCCACTTCTGCTCAATGCAGAGTATACAACAACACACGCATATTAACAACATAACATACTATAGTATAAGTATTAAATCAAAGTACATGTAAGTAA